TGAACCTTCTCTGATGTCTCAATCCGTAAGCCCTTACTGACTTGCCAGTTCCCTTCTCCTTCCTCTTCAACTCTAATCTGGAGCCACAGGTGGTGGTGGGTAGGATGTGCACCTTGACCCTGTTTGGAGCTATAACTAAGGTCGCATACTGGTTCTGGGACTGACCATAGGCGGGGATTTATCCTCTAGGCACATACAAAATGTTTCTCCCTCGTAAAATAGATCCTTAGACTATGAAGATGAAATGGAATTCTGGGGTCGAGTTGATTCTGACTCAGCTGCCCTACAAGGCAGAGCAGAATTGTCCACAGGGTTCCCAAGGCTGTAAACGTCATGAAGCAGGCTGCCACATCTTCTCCCACAGAGCAGCACGGTAGGTTTGAACTGCCACCTGCTCTAACAGCAGCTGAATCGTTAGCCACTGCATCGCCCCTGAGACTTCCTCTGATGACAACCACTGGTGGCTGTCGTTGTGGTCCCTGTCATTCTTCTCCACGGGCTTTCAATTCCATAAAGGAGTATCAACATTTTACAGAAGGGACAGCTGGCCCACAGGTAGACAGGGTCCCAGGTCTCAGCGGAAGGACCAGGATCGAGAGGGTCTTTCGTCTGCTGTTTTCTTCTGTTGCTAGCAGCAGCAAACAGAACCTTTCCCACCACCCCCTCTCCACTGTTCCTGCACACCAGGGAGCGAGCTGTAGAAGCAGATGAAGAATGTGAGCAAGAAGAAGAAAAGAGTTCTACAGAAAAAGTACTAAATCAACCCAATGATTTATTCTGCCCATTGTGAAACAACCCTGTACTTAAAAAAAAAATCTTTCCAGTTGTGGGGAGGGCAGGGTGGGGATGGGTTTGACTGAGAGAGAAATGCGCAAACGGCATCTATTTCCATGATCTACCAACTGCTCAGGGACTTTAAGAACTTCCCACAATCCTTTGAGGTACATTCATTCCGTTTGTCCCCAAACCCCTGATGTATCTTTTTTTTTTTTTTCGTGTGATTCAAGCTTCAGAGAGGGGAATTTTTCTAAGAGGGAGAATTTTTCTGTTTCCCCAAGCTAGACGAGGCAGATTGTGCTCAGCAGGTGTGATCCCCTTGACAAAGACCCTGCCCAGCGGCCAGTCCCCGCCTCTGCCATCTTGTCTCCTCTGCCATCCCCACCCCCCACCCACTTTCTCCTCTTTCGTCTTTGGGTTGGTTCTGC